CAAGGCATTATTTTTAAAATTTTAATTCGATTTTGTTTAACAACTACACCTACACTTACTGCAGTTTCAACACGTTAAAAAATATTACAAAATAATATTTTCATAAAATCAACGAATATTGTGTACGTATACCTATATATAATATTGGTAACCTACCGTGTTAACGATATTTACAGGCAAACTAAATGTAAACAACTCTCTTTGGAGGATGAAAATAGTAACATAAGGTGATTATAAAAAGAAGGAATTTCTAATTTTTTTTTGAAAATTAAAAATTCTTTCTCATATTATATTTTAATTTACAGAATATTGGATAAGATATTAATATTTCAAACGATTTTCAATTTTTTCGCTTGTGGACATAAAAAAATTACTGAAAACTAGGAGCACTTATCAACATTACTAATTTTAGTTATTATTATATATTTTATGTTAACAAAATTTGCAAGGACAGGTTGTAATATTATTTTAATTTATGCGTGGTATATAAATGAAGTACCTAAAAACAATTATACATACACTTACTTATAATTCTTATAAATACATTAAGTCAGATGCATATGATTGTAACACTTTTTCTCTTATAGGCACTTAGAACGTAAATTGTGGTATTTTATTGTAAACAAAATTAAAAACAAATAACACAATTTAAAGAAGAGAATATTTTTAAGAGCTGTACATAGAATATAAATGTTTTTTTTTTAAAAATTCTAAAAAATCTTACAAAAAAGTTAAAAGCATATTGGTTTTAATTATTTTTTTAATAGCTGTAACTTTTTAAAAGACAATTTTTTAGAAAATATTAATTTAATTTCGTTATTTGTGATTTCAATCCAAACGCTACAATTTATATTTTAAGCACCGTATTTGTTTTATATCACACGTTAGTAATATGCAGAAAACACACGCCGGTATGACATGCTCATAAAGATGTTCATAAAGCCCAATTTTTACTACAAATATTACAACTTAATGGAACGCGTACAATTTTCAAGCATTTCTGCTCGGCCATAACAATTAATTATCAATTACCTTCTAACGTAATAACCTTCTAACTCAAAATGCGATAACCTATTTTATTTCATCTATTTACTAGAAATACTTAATCAGTACTGGCATTATGCCCTGGAATAGCAAAAAAAAAAGCCGAGCAGTTTTCAAAATTACTGCATAAAAAATTGACACACTATTATTGTATAAAAATAATAATGTTTATGTTTCAAGACTTTTTGAGAAATTTACATACCTATGTACCTATCATTATAGGCACTCAAAAAGCTTTTGACATATTGAACAGCATGTCAATGATTTGACAAATTAATTTTGTTTTGTTGACAAATTATTCAAAATGTATATACTATAAACGTAATAACAATTTGATATTGTATACATGAAAATTACTATATATTTTTTTGAAATACATCTATGATAATATTATCTATATTCTATAATATAATATTTGTACTCGTTACTATTATAAATTCACCTGTAGCGCATTTTCACTGCACTGCAATATTCCAGTAATAGCCTTTGTAATAAGTCTTAGTAATAGTCTAAGGAATTGTTTTTTTTCTACTACATATGTATTTCGGAACTAGACGAAAAAAAAATCTTTTGTCGGTTTCTTCGCTCAAACACTTGTCGCGATTGTACGCTATTATAAAAATAATATATATTGCCTAAATTATTATCAATACAAATACATACTATAATATTTTTCTTTATCGTAATGTATAAGTAGTTTACGTACGTACGTTATACCTAAAAATCTTACCTGACGTAAACGCGATCAATATTATACTTCACTACCAAATATGACGTCAGTAAAAACGACCACAATAATATAACCGAGCCAAGCCATTTATTCCAAACATAAAAACATATTTCAGCAAATCGACTTCGCCGTCTCTAAACTAAGACATTTCAATGTATTATATAATTACTACTGTGTGCATTATCGACGAATTTGTACAAACAAATTAACGAATACTTATAACAATTTATTTTTTCGTCCACCTATATAATGACAACATGATAATAATACTATACGACTTTGAGATGTTCGCGTAACTATATACATACGTATATTTCATAACACTTATATTATTTTCTCAGGAATTAAATTAGACTTTTTTTCCCCAATTTTTTTTTTTCATTGCTTTATTTTGTTTGTACGGTTGAAAATTTATTTAGAGTATCCGAGCTGCGGCCTTTTTCGTTAAGCTCATTATATTCAAATATAATATACCCGTAGTATAACATTGTGCTATCACGAGAATAACACATATAAATATATTTCATGAAAAAAAAAAAAAACTTGTAAATATACTCACCATATAATAAAGCTGATATTTTCATATGATGAATGTAAAAAATACCCATGAATACCCGAGCTACGTTGCTATAGTCAAATTTTCCTTCGCCTATTTTGTATATATCATAGAATATATTAACTATAATATAACTATAGTTGTATTATTTATATATATTACAGCTAAAAAAAAAAAGGGTGATATTTAAGCATAAAAATTATATGGGCGTGGGATGAAAGTCGAAACCCCCAAATGCACATCATTGATACTCACTCCATATATGATGTACAAAACAGCATCCTCCTGGTTTCATTTGGGGAGGGGGTCAGCAAGGGTGTTCAAAGTTTAAAGAAACACCTGTCTCCACATCAACGTAATGAAATTTATATTGAGATTCAATCCGCTTGAAAAAAACAACACTAATTTCCAAGTTTGAGCTCATTTGGTCCAGAGAGAGCCGTTAAAGTGTCCGAAAATAGCGAAAAAAGATAAAAATAAATAAACAACAGACATAATACAGTGCAATACTATACTATATTATTTTCGGGGAAAAATGAACGAAAAAATAAATATTATACTCTGCCACTATAATAATTGATATTTTCTGTTATAGTTCAATGTACCGTATATAGCTGCAGTTTTAGTAACTCGGCAGATACAATGCAATATTTAATTACGAAACACTGTAATATTAATGTAATTGATAATAATTAGAAAATCTGGAAGAGTGCCCGCACATCTAAAACGCTTTAAATCCCCTACCAACCACACGCGTGTGCTGCTTCTATAATCGCGTTAAAATAATTAAAACAAAAATTTAATAACGATGCGGTTACAACAGAATATACGAGTATATCAGTATATTATAGTAATAAACACGTAGATAGGTTTATACAAATTGCAGACAATTATAAATTTTGCAGGCGCTATACACACCGAAGTTTTAAGAGACCACGTATAGGCAATTTTAAAAAAAATTTAAGTTTAAAAATAAAATTCACCAAGCACTTTCAAACAAAATTTAGATTGGAATTTAGTAAAAATATATATTTCACGTGAACATACAAATAATACGCGGACTATGAATTTTGCAATCTTGTTAAGTATTTGAATACTTGTATTTAAATATTTTATCGGTATTTTAAATACATATGTACAATAGAAACAATTTTTGACAGATATATTTTAAATATTATTATTCCAGAGCATAAAATACTTTTGTTTGTGTTACCATTATAATATAACAATGTTGTTGTATTATACAATTGCAAAACAATATTTTATTATGTTTCTAAGAATTTTTAATAACATTTCTTCAAAATGTATTTTCATAACTCAGTAACTCTTAAAACAATGTTATCTATCTAGAGTCAACCTAGTAGAGTCATTTACTAATATCGCAACATTTAAAATTCTTAAACCTATTTAAATTAGGTATCCATACATAAGTTTAAGTTTCTATCCGTTGAATGTAAAAATCGTTCAAGGCATATCGAATGAATTGAATTGAATCGAAAAAATAAAGGTAATTTATAAAATGTTCAAAAGACTTTCCTTATATAATGGAAGAGAGCCCGGAAGGAAAGAGACCGACCAGAAAGACAATAAGGCACCATTTGAAATAGACTGCAAATAACATGGTGTAGAGAAATTTATAGATTCTCTAAAACTAGGGGATCAGACTGGGAATTGAAAGCAGCTGATAAGGAAAGTCGGAAGATGTGTGAAAAGATAGTCGCTTAATGACCGATAATCTCAAGAAGAAGAAGAAGAATCACATCGACAAGATTTAATAATAATTAGTAATATACGAGTATTATAGTTCGTGTATAAGTAAAACACCTCGAATGCAGCGCTCAAGTCCGTTTTATTTATTATCGCTATTAAAATAAAACGTTTTTTAAATTATATTATATTTTTCGTGTAATAATTTCCGTTTAAAATAAAAAATATATGTTTTGTATCAGGTGGTGGTCCAGCATGGCGCCGGTATAGGTTATTCGCCTAAAACGAGGTTGACGAAATGTTTTTTATCTTCATATTTATTTGGTATGATTTTTTTTTTCAAGTATAACCGACAGCAGTAAAGAATCCATAACACAATATTTCACTCACCATATTTAATGTTATTTAATTCAAAAAAGTCGGTAGGCATAGATTTTTTATTCTATTTTAGGTAAACAAGTTTCATAATTATACAATGTACATCAATAACCAGTAACCACTCCTACTGGTGATAACGACACGGGACAAATTAAAATTTACTAAACTATGACTTAATATTTTTGAAAAGGTAAATTTCTATTTTTTTTTCGTCTAAAATTTTGTTAAAAATATCTATGCGCAATCTCCTAAATATTGTAGCAAATGTTATATCATATTCTTATATTGGAATAGTCAAAGCTGGGCAGAAACTCATTAAAAAGTTAAAAGTTAAGTTATGCAAGTTACTTTTCTTGATGACTTTTAACTTAACTTAGTATATAGGTAAAACAAATATTTCATGTTTGCAAATAACTTAGTTATTTATTTTAATAAATAGTTTGAACTTAACTTAACTTAACCTAATAGTTTTGTTCAGATTTAAGTTATTTCTATAAAGTTTTTTATGAAATGTTTAAAAAAAAAAAAAAAAAAAACTATGTACCTATGCTTTTTGCATTTATTTTTCGACGAAAATTACATAGCTCAGGATATGAGATGGATTTGGAATTCTCCGGTAACGATGACACTATTACAACAGTGCTGCAGCAGACTCGACGGGCAGGATTTAAAAGCACCACGAACATGGAACGATAATAATCTTTCACTATCGGAAATGACAGGAAATCCGCTATACGCGGTTCTTGTCTCTCCAGCGAGAATCGTCCAATTATTTCGAGCTGACAGATAATACAATATCACGTGACGCGTGGTTCCCATAAGGCAACGTTTCTCAACCGAAGGTAGGCGCAAGACATCATCATAAGACGTCATTTCCAAACGTCGTTTTGGCGAGGCTAAAACAAAAAATATATTATATTATTCTTATCGGTCGATTGTTTTTATCGGAAACTTATTAAACGACCTATCTACCCGTACACTTTAAATTTATTTATTACCATTGTTGACAGTCGTTGTATCGTTAACATTTTGTTTTAAAATGGTTTTTTTATTATTTAGCTTTGAAAGTCCGTTTCAAAACGAAATTAAAAATATTTTGTTTTAAATTAATATTATTATAAACAATCCCGAAGTCTTCATTCGAACCGAATAAATACTGCAGATTTTTTTTGTAAATAATCAGTGTAGAAAATAACGTCACACCAACCGAAATTTATTATTTTTTCTTTTCATACACCAGTCTCTATTCTCTACATATTCTATTCCTGCTGTTTCATCATTCAAATCTATCTTTACTTGATCCAGCCATCGTTGTCATGGTATTCCTCGGAAACGTATTTAATCTAGATGCTTGACTAGGTAGTGATTGTCACATATTCTTATCATACCATATATGAACAGCACAGTCTTTTTGAGACGACATTATTGAATATTTAGTCTGTTGAAGATTCCCTCAATATCTACATTCGTTTTTATTTGTACGGTCCTGTTTCCTTATATACATTATATGGGTCCAAATATTTTCCTAAGAACTTTCCTTTCAAAAGATAGCAACTTGCTAAGGTTACAAACATTAATTATAATTTATAAACGTAAAAATCAACAGAGTCTGTTCTATCCAAAAAGTAACGATCCTGTATCATAAAATCACGAATCGTGTTTTAAAAAAACATTCCAGTGCTGGGCTGTGTATAAATTGATTATAATATGACGTGCAATAAAATCGAAAATAATAATTTTTGTTGCATTTTAGGATATACATTAAAGAAGCTATTAGTTTTACTAAAATTAGTTTTTTATTCTTAGAAAACATATTTGTGGTTTGTAAAACTGATCTAATTTTTGTTAGTCATACCTTAAAATTTGTGGATTTACTGATGGTATTTTGTTTAGACATTTTTTTTAAACAAATGAAGAACCACCGGTTTTATTTTAGATGATTTCTGGGATCAACTTGGCTGGAAAAACACGCAGTTAATACTATAACCTTACCAGTTTACCGAACTCCGTTTTTGACTAAATTAATGTATCGTTGATTTCAGTTTAAGCCTACTCATTGTGAGAATTATGAAGGTTTTTTATTATTATTATTTGTCTTCTCTTTCAAATTCATCCCAACTATTTGGGGGCAACCAAAATTTGTTATAATTATTTTTTTTGTTTGAATATCCCGTACGAGAGCTGATTAAATGTACACTATACAAATTCAAACAAGGCAGTTAACTCTATAATTGAAAACCAAACGCTTTTACGTAGATGATGTACTTTTGATAGGTATACCTTATAAAGGTTAATCCCTTATTATTTTCGGCAGTGTAAAAAAAATGAACTTTTAAAAGTTTATATTTGATACTGACGCGGTAGTGGTAAAGACGGTGCGTTCTATTATAGACGTTATGGTGCGATTTGATTAGTCTGCGCAAGCGCGAAGACGTGTCAATTTTATTCTATAGTATTTTTATACTTTCAAACGCAACGTCGTGACAATATAATTGGCTCATTCGTTCGCCGACGGTCAGAACCGAAAGACGCGTATTATATAGTCGACTTCACAAAAAAATCGTTTCGTCCTTAAAGACGCTTTCGTACTCTTATAAAAGGTAAATGACGTGAACGTTATTATATAGTTTCTATTAAACGAATTGATGTTATTTATTTATCTTCTCTCTCTGTCGGAATTATATACCCGGACGTTTCCAATTGCTTCTCTCGTAGTGAACGACACAGAGCCGTTTGTATACGTGCGTAATATATTCGTAACGGAGGATTAGTTTTCGTTCATTTATTTTGGGGCCCATGCCAATTCGTTAGAGAGGGTTCGGGTCGGATTATGTTTTCCAGGACACTGTACCTACATATATATATATATATATATATACATAAGGAAGGATAGGTATACGCCTTAGATTTATTAGAGCTCACAGTTTTGCGAAGAAAGATAAAAGTTGAATATATATATATATATTTATTTATCTGCGTCAGCGTTGTTGAATTTATATTTTCTACCTATATACATGTACGAGTATGGTTTTCGAACGTGCGTCTAATCGACAAAGTCGATGTATAATCGTAATATCATAATAAACATATATTGAGTTATAATTATGATATAGTTAAGATGATTAGTGTGACAATTTTCCAAATTTTCTCAAATTTTGTAAAATTTAAAAATGTTAACGACCACGGTAAATTATCTATAACAGCGGCTGCACCCGTCCCCATTATCCTAAGACGTATTTTTTTTTTTTTTTAACTTTTATAAGGAAATTTATAAAATACCACGGACAAGTTTACACATTTCCCTTTATTAATTCTACCATTATTCCGTTGGATAGTAAAACCATTATTACCTACCATTTATTTGCCACGAATTGCAACCTGTAGTTTATACACATCGAAAATCCCATAAGATTTCTATGAAATAAATATCCCTTTTAAGTGATGTATCTCGCCGAGTTAATGGGAATTTAAACAATTCCAAAGTCGGAAATTTTATGCGACTAATACTTCGTTCCCGCAATTTACAGGATTCGGTTTATTTGAAATACAATTGAAAATTTCAACTGTATCTTTGGATATATAATAAAGAACGTTTATACGCGACTATGACGAGGGTGCGTGTTGTCCCTCCCTCCCTCCCTCCTTTACCTATTTTGACGCGTTCGGTGGCGCGACCATCCGCCATACGAGCGATGACGACAATGATGCGGTTTTGGGTCGAAAATAAACACCGGGTCTCATTAAAGGGACTTTTCGGCCGCGAAAACGTACCTATATAAATGGTCCGGAACGTTTAACCGGCGGAAAATCAAAAGGGATTGAAAACGCTCTGCAACTAATCCCCATGGTGTGTATACCCCGCCCAGGTGTATACATGTATTTGACGAGTCGTCACGAGTGCGTCGATTTAGTTTGTCGCCGCCCACGTAATAAAACACATTCGATCGTTTCTGACGTTCCTGCAGTATATACACGTACGCACACGCCCGTTTAATATTATATATTATTATTATTTTATACTAATTTCATCGATTGATTTCTGCAACCCCGTGACCTGGTTTGCATGTATATAACAGCAGCTGCGACTTGCAAGTGAAGTGCAACACACGACAGAAGATTTTCACAGCGTCCGTGAAACTATATTGAGTTAAACGTTTTAAAAATAAATTATTCAAAAGGCACGAAATCTCCGATACGTCCCCATTTAAACAATACATTGGCCAAACCGAAAACCCTCCGGAACACGTCTTCGGGTGCAGACCGCTCAGTCTCTTTTTATTAGTAACGTAATTTAACACTTTATAATAATATCTGAATCATTGCGTACCGCCTAAAATGTTCTGAGTAATAGATATAACCCCTTTTCACTTCCCCCCCCCCAAAAAAAAAACTGCAAAGACGCTCAGTCGCTCCTTTCATGTAATCAGAGATGTGATAAAAGGGTTTTGAGAGGCCATGGCTTTTGAATATTTTGAAATGGGTGGATGGATGAGTATATACGAATTCTTATAAATTTGTATTATAATTGAACTAATAGTTTTATATTTATTAGCTCTAATCAAGGGCGCACATAGGTTAATTTTCATTTGGGGGAACAAAATGAAGTTAGATTTAAAACCTATTTTTACCATATGCCATATAGATACTAGGTTGGTATTTCTTGAAAATGAATGAGAAAGAAAAGGTATGTAATTATGTAAACAGTATATTTAAAAAACCTTTGCTGAAATCATGACATTATAATATTGTCTATAGTTATCATTATCGATATAAAGTATATAATAACATTTATTTTTTTGGATTCAAAGCATATATAATTGTTTTATTTTATATTTTATTACTTTCTAGAAGGAGCATGTCCCCATTCTTGCCCTCCTCCAATGGACGCCTTTGACTATAATAGGTATCATTTGGAATTACAAATCTTGAATCTGGTTATAGTTAAAAGGTATAACGAAATAATAAATAATTTATTAAGTTTTATATTATAAACAACATAAATTAGCAAAAATGGTTTTATAATTTTATGAAGAATTTATAATCGGTTTTTGAATACATTTATCTATCTTTGCCATATTACCTTTTATCTTCCTGACTTCTCGCCCACAACAGTAGCGCATCCGTTGTGTGACGAATATCCAGCTTTTTTAATTTTATAACAACAAAATTGCTTTATGTAAAATATTTTTATCGCATAGATTTAGTTGAACATTACAAATATAATTGAATTGCTTATTTCAGAAATAAAACCCCTAAGTCCACTTAGGTATTCACTTTTTAAGAAAGTCAATAAAAACTGTATTACAGTTCTAAAATTGTTTCTTTAAACTTTCAAAAATTACCAAAAATACTTGACTATAGCACAAAACGATTCGTAATGTGCCTACATTAAATTATACAATAAATACATTCTTTGGGTACCTAAATATTTTTCGGAATGGCAACGTTGCATTTAAAATTATACCGAATCGCGTAAGGTCTAATTTAAAACGAAATCGAATAGTTCTTTTAATTTGTATCGACTGTAAATTATGATTATATTAATTTTTTGCGTTTTCTGTATTATCTTCAAAATCGAATACGTAATTTTCATTTGCCCGATCAAAATAATTGTCTAAATGTCAGCTATCGCGGGGCAAGTGGGCATTTTAAAAACATCGGTTGAATAAATATCGCAAAAACAAAAATTATTATTGGCATTTTCAAACGGCAATATTATTTCTCGAACGTAATCTTTCATCGAGACACGTGTCGCATTGTAGCATCGGTATATTGTTATTATGATTGTAATTATTGTTATTATTGTTATTATTGTTATTATTGTTATTATTATAGTATACCGTATATAGTTTAATAAATGTTATTCCCACGCCTTGGTTAAAAAATTTAAATCGTTTCCATTTACCCCGCACGGCCCTGTGCGTGTCGGTTTATCAATAGCTATTAAAATATTCACGATTCGGCAAATTTTCGGAAACGTTCTCTACCGCCGCCGCCGTACCTGTATATATATATACGTACATACGGGAACAATATTATACATCGAAACTCGCGCGGAGCATAATCATCTGTTGCAGCCTAGCCACACACACACACACACACACGGGAACATTATTGTGTTTTCGAACTTTACCGGTTTCCCGTGTACCGTATCATTGTAACGTCGTGTAATAATAATCCCACAGACCGTAACCCCGTACAAAAGCGTCGTTCGGTCGTATTGTACAGCAATTATAATGTAACAGTCCCGATGCCCGTGCACGCACGCAGACATTCGACTGCATCCGTGATGTTTCCAAGACGGGACGT